GCCTGGTTGCCGAAAACTCATTGCCGGCGCTTGTTGGTTCTAGCGGTTGGTCTTTGTGGTTTCAGTGGTGTCGGGAGACTGCGGTTACTGTGATCTCTCCCGTCGAGCAGCTGATACTACCCGACGTCCGAGATCTTCCCGTCGGCGGAGGAGCTGTAGCGATCAAGCTATGCCTTGACCCAGCGGGTCATTTGCCACGCCGGATTAGTGCCAAAAGGACAGTCTCGCCACGGCTGGACGGAGGAAGCAACAGAGGCCGACTCCACGAGACGGCGCCCACTGATTGACAGCGGCGCCAACTGGGTGGAATGTCGCCAAAGAGGGTTTTGGAGCCGCTGCTCTATCTCCCGCCTGGGCCACGCATCGTTACCGCGTTAACCGGCAGACGACGACGGCGCTGGTCAAAGGGCTCTCCCCAGAGAAATCCACGAACCTGGCACCTCTCGAAAGGGCGCGGTAGGATCTCCTCGTGGGAACGCAGCCCGAGGCCGGCCCCTAAGCGGTCGAGGCGCCAGTGCGTCTTCCGCTCTCCCCCTCCCTGTTCTACGGCAGCGCTGCGACTAGTGGCAAGGGTGTGTGTATATGTGCAAGCCTGTGTTGTGCCTCTATGAACAGACATGATGGGTGGTACTTCATTGAGAGGAACTGCCACATCACCATTGGTCCGCATTGTTTATATAGTGATCCCCAACCTAGGGACCTAGGGAACGGGGGTCAACAAAAAGGGCGGGCAGTGCCTCGCCCAATGTTCTTCTCTTCTGTCATCTCGACAACTCACTGTAAAGATGTAAATAAATCCGTTAAGTTTGCTCAAAGCTCTCCCCTAGTCCTTGGCTCGACGGAGCGACGGCGATGGGCCCCGCTACCCGCAGACTGCGGTCGCCGCGACGAGCAACAACTGGTGGCAGCAGAGGGATGCCATCAGCGACCTTCCAGAACGCGCAACAACATCTGAAGATGCCTTCTGCCAAGGGAAAGGAAACGCCGCAGGCTGCTCACATGCGATACCTCTTTTCTGTAATTCTCAAGTATTATTTAATATGTTTGTTGAAACATCCTGTATATGAGACCCGGGTCTGATACGGGCCTGACTAAAGCCCGGAAACGACCAGAACTCGAAGCTCATGGGCCCGGGCCCGATCCAACTACGCCTCAGCCCGGCCCACGGGCCGGGCTGGGCTCTCGGGTTAGTCCGGGCCCATGCAGTGCCCTACTTTGCAATGTCAGCACGCTAAGGAACGCGAGATGGCCAGATTTCCGGTGCCCCCCCACTACGCCGTCCCACATAATCATCGTCGTTTTGGGACGTAGAACCTAAAATATTATTATAATATCTTTCCTCTGGCGACCAGGGATTCGTCCTCAGTAAATACTGATACCTGAGCGAACGCACGCTGAGCATGTGATAGCGCTGACATTGTCGAAACGCTACGTGCGTGTCCGATAATCGCGATTGCGCAAGGCTGCGAAGGAACATGCAGGACTGGAATGAGAAAAGAAAACACGCCACTCACCGATTGCCTTATCTTTCAACAAATACGGAACGAAGCGTGACAATAATCCTATTTGAGCACGCAAACGTGCCCTTTACTGTCCTCCGGTGCTATCTGTTGCTGAGAATAAGCTAATCTCATCATTTGCTGAGTGGTAGAGGTGTCAAGCTCTGACACGAGTGTGCAGTCCACGTAGATGGTTTCGGAGCCACGTGACCATCCTCAGAACTTTCGCAACGATGGATTAAGCTTGATCGCGAAACTGCGTGGCGCGAGCACGCCGAACTAATTGCGCGTGGGATACATATTTTAATGCATAAATAAAGGCAATACATATTGCTACAAAATCAATTACGAGGAACGCTCAATTCTTTTGTTTTCATTGTGGTGGTGCTTCGGCGTCTAATTTTCTACCTCAAAGTCACCTAGCAGCTAGCTCACGCGGATCCTCTTTTGGGAACCATCGAACAGAAAATCGCCTCGGCAGATTTTCGGTTTACCGTAAAGAATCCAATGCAAAAAATTTACACGTGCGGCCCAATTAGAAAGAAAGAGCGAGAGCAGAGAGAAAAACCAATTATGAATTTAAAATGGAATACATATAACTTAAAGGCTAGGCTGCGAAAAATACTAATAAACGCAACAATCGTATCGATGTGTATACGTTGTTGTTGTTTTTCTTCAGAGCATCAAAACCACGATATCACTATAAGGGACGGAAGCAACTATTCAGCTTGTGAAACTATATGCGACGCTGGCAGGTTGGTCCTCTGCAGACACCAAGGGAAGATAAGCTAAGCGCGTGCAACTTGTATGCGTTACATTTTTCTACACGAGTAGGTGCTTATGTCTCCAGTTTTGATGTATATCTCTTATCCGTTAGTCAAAAATAAATCACTCAATATGGGTGCCAAGCATGAGCCAATACAAACCCCTTTCATTTCCAGCTATGCGTGATTATCCCAAGTTGCATAAGTTGACCTAAGAATAATCAAGTTTACTGGTAACGAAAAGGAGCTTGTATTGGCTCGTGCTTGGCACCCGTATAGAATGGTTTATCTCTGGCTAACCTTGATCGCATAGTTCAGAAAAATATTTAGCAGAGTGAACTGTTGTGAAAGTCTTCCGTTACGTGGACGATTTTCATGTAATGTTCGAAGTTGCCACGGTTGGTCCAGGTGTAGGTGCATTAGTGAAAAGTATTCTAAACGTTTTTCGTGTGTGAATGTCGCCTCTGTTTTTAACTTATGAAATTCCCGATGAGGAAACTATCTGCTTCCTGAATTTGAATCTTACTGTTTAGTAGGACTGTGTTTGTTGGCATCATGCTCTACGGGCTAGTTTGCTACTGTTCGAATCAGCCCACTCTAAAGTTTTAAAAAGGGCAATAGCGAAGGCCTGCTTCTCGCATGCTTTGCGGAAGTCATGCTGCCTCAAGATACAGGCCAGTTTTGATGCGCATGCTGAACGCCTCACCAATGCTAAATACCCGTGTCACGTGATGACCACTGTGGCTGAATATTTGCTCAAAGAACAAAAAAAAAGTTAGTCCAGGGTTGCCCGCTCAGACTCGTGAAAGTAGACTGCAAAATAAGAAGTGCGCTGTCATTCCTTGCATCCATGGCGTGGCCCACAACCTAAAGAGGATAGCCGGCAGATGTGACGTCGATATTGTTTTTTTCTGCCCATGAGAAGCTAGCTAGCATGTGTAGTGCCATCAACCCAGGAGCTAGGGAGACCACCACGAGCCCAACCGAGCATCGGAATAAGTTCGTACCATGCGTTCATCGCATGGTGTATTCTTTGCCATCGCCCTGTGGCAAACGATACCTAGGCGATGTCTGAATGAGCCTCTCAAGAAACAGGCTTACAGCGTTTCCTCGACGTTGTCTGGCCACCTAGACATTCATTTCTGCAAATGTGGGTGTGTCTCTCTGATTCTCATTCATGTGCGGTTGTAAAGCGTCATCGGGACCAGCTTATCCGTGAAATACTGGAGGTCCTGGAGATATCTAGAGCGGGGGATGCATGCGTGAGTAGGCCTTCGGTCGCCTTCTATAAGAAAAGGAAGTTGTATTTTTATCTGGTTGATTGCGCGTGCTATGAGAATGGTTTTATGGTGTTCATTTTTCATTTATCTTCGACTATCACTTTTGTTTCTTCTTTTTGTTCGACTGCATAGGTATACAAAACGTGGTTTGAAGAATAAAATTTTTGCTGTAAGTCAGCGCTCTGTATGTGTCCTTGTTTGTCTGTTTTCTCGTTTTTCGCTCTATTTCCTTCCAATATGTCGTACCAACACGCCCAAGCAACCACTTGAGCTGCATTTGTTCTTAGACTGCTCGAATGTACGCCATGTTCTAGACGGCACTGCACTGAGCGCCAATAAAGACTCCAGAGAGATTTTCCCAAAAAACATAACACTTTCACAGATTCAAGTACTTCGCAAGAAGACGACGAGATCAGCATTTTCATGGAACAACGAGGAAGGTGGCTTGCTTCCTAATGGGTGTAGCTCGCTTTTACAGATCTGTGGAAAATCGGTGGCGGCGAATCGGCGAAGAAGGGTGGGCACATAACCTTTTTTGTTGCGCGAAAACGTAGTGTTCATTGGAGACAGCCGGGAGTCAACACGACCGTTCTAATTTATGTAAAGCTGCCCGGCGAAGTGCATTCTTCCCAGAAGTAGCTAGATCACGTTTCTTTATTGCATTGCATAATAAATTACGTTTGCAAGAGACTTGTAACTTTTACTCAACACGCATCCAATTTATGTAGACTCGAGCTATAAATGTCTATAGCAGGGGCTTTTTTTTTTCACTTTAATGCGGTAGGATGTTTTCTGTCGTTCTTTGAAGTGCAAAAATAAAATTGTGAGTTGAGCACTGCGCACATGGGACAGTGGGCTATGACTATATTTATATTTTATATTACCCTGCAACTATTTCGCAAAAGTGTTACGGGCGTAATTAAACGAAATTATGCAGAGCATACTTGTGAAAGTCATGACACTGAAAGAAGTTCCAAAACACTGACTATAGAATATATCTTGTGTGAGACAGGTATCTTCACAGTAACCGAAGAGAGGGCAGTATACATCGATTATTTTCAAGGCATAACTGGCTGAAACGGGCCGGGCCGATCCCAATACTTTCAGGCCCCGGTCTGGTATACGGGCGATATTTAAAAACACCGAGCCGGAGCATGAAGTTTTCGGACCGGTACGGGCCGAGAAAATCGGCCCGTGCAGTGCTCTAGCGCACAGTACACGGGCTTATACCATTTCGCCTACACCAAAATACCACTGGCATGGCCGCGATCGAACTCTCGACCTTTGGGGTCAGCAGCCGAGGACCTTAATCTTACATGAAAAACGATATCGGAAAGCAGTGGCTGTAGGAGAGGGTACTGAGGGACTGTTTTCTTTTTTCTTCTCTCCGCTAACGTCCTTTCTTTCTCTCTCTCTCCCTCTCACCGGAGCCGCTGAATGGCTGCGTCAACAACGCGTCCGTCTCGGCAGGGCCCGCTGGCCTTGGCTCCGAATGCCTCGGAGTTGTCCCAAGAGGCGTCAGGGCGATTGTCACGAGTGTGAACGGCGCGTGTTCCACCTCGAGTACGTGTTTTGCAGACGCTGCGCGCAGCCCCGCCTACGTGCGAGACGCTAAGCCGCCCAAGTCCCGGGTGACAGCGCTTGAACAAGTTTCGTAAAGGTTTGTTGCTGTTTCGCTACTCGGTAGTCAATGTGCCGCACGGCGTCAAAACAGTGCGAGGCCTGCTTCGCAGGAAAGGTACAATGCATACCAGCTCACTGTCTTGCGGTATATCGCCCGTTACGCTACACGTCTTCAAGTATCATAGTTGTAGTAAAGAAAATTTTCGATAATTTCATGATTTCGCGGCCGGCAATATTTTGACGCCAACCGCGAGTGCACGGTCGTAAAGCTGCAAGCGACAACGCCACAGTCTTTAATCGCTGTGTTGCGGCCTGTTCCTGCTTCCAGTAATGTTCGAACACTGCTCTCAGCCATCGTTCGCGCGTTTGTCTTGTTTGGGGCTGATGGAATGATGCTTGTATGCGCGTTATTTGCTTGACAATCCCTGTCCACCAAGGCGATGTTGTCGAGAAAGTAGGGCGTTCCGATTACTTGCGGCGCGTGATGAAGTATCGTTGACAATCGACGCCAACTGGGCTCACTATGCGCTCGAACCGTAGCTGGATTTAGCGCGTCGCTCCTGGGCGGAACTTCTATGCAGCAAGTCTTCATTTTACGCTGAGTAACAGGTGAACGCTTCAGGCGAGTGTGTGCAATAACAATGCTCGACATTCCTTTACTAGAAAAAGGTGAGCGTGTCATTACTAGACCTATTTAATAGCGGCTCAACGAGGCTGCACGAAGTGGCTAAATGGTGCACTTGCGGCTACGCGTACAAACATTTTTCTAAAAGTAATGCGACTTACGTGCAACTTGCAGTTTCCACCCGCAATTCGCCTTATGCGAACTCACGCGTGTGTGCGCATTTGTGCGAAAATACCCGTGTGTACGTGCAACGGAGGCTTTGAAGGATAATTTGCCCATCATGCCGGTATACTTGGGGCTAAACCTGCTCTCATGGACGTCCTCCGCGTTGCTTATATTTCAACCGTACAGATACAAGGTTTCTTTATCGCCGCATGCGGTCTGTCAGTGTTGAACTTGCGGTAGGAAAATATGTGAGCAGCGAAGAGGATCACGCGCGTGTTTGTCGTAACACTGACCGGTTGCGGAATCTTCGCCTCGGGTTGTTAGAGGTATCCTGCTGCCGGCGTCATTTCTTTCTACGAGAAAACAGCGACGAGACCTCGATGTATCTAGCGTGTGCCTATGGCGTGCTAAAAAAAAATAGACGCTGTGGCGCGTGGAGCATGTAATCGCAGGTGGGGAAACGTCTACAAGGAAGTCCGCGCACTGGCCGTGTATGTATATACTGCGAGGCAAATGGACGTTGCTGGCATGAAAGGACACGGCGTTGCTCGGGAGAAAATTGCGCCCAGATTGCACGTGGCGAGCATTGAAACCGGTCTCCTGTCTGATGAGCTTCAGTCGGGTAAATCTGCTTCGCACACGCATGTACACGAGGCTGGTGCATGGCCCGCAACGTTATAATAAATAAATTATCAGTTTCTGTGTTAAGTGTGCGGATCTTAATTTGCTAATGTTTTTTTTTTCTGGTGCAATGAGAGTACTTCTGCCTACCGTATATATGCACAATAGACTCGTTCAAATGAGTTTGAGGGACCAGTAAGACATGTTCCAATGAACAGTTCCGTTTACTGAAAGTATATAATACTGTGTGTGTGTGTGTGTGTGTGTGTGTGTGTGTGTGTGTGTGTGTGCACGCGCGCGAAGGTACGTAGTGTTTTCTACTTAACGAGGCCTAGCTCTGTTCCTTCTGAATGCGTTTTTTTTTTTCATTTTGTTTCTCTTTTTACATGTACTTATATACCTTCATTACCAATGAGGGACTTCATTGCTTAAGTGGTTTTTATCAATTAGTCGCGATAAGCGAAAGTCAGTGCTTTCGCGTTTCGATTCCTTCTAGAGGCGGCTGGGATCGGACGCGTGGCCTCAGCCGTACGCAGGTACATACACATACCAATGGGGCGAAATATGCCGAGTAGCCTATCCCTCGCACTTGAAGGAAACTGATTATGACGAACACTATAGCTTTGGCGCCAGTGTGCGAAAGCGCACACGTTTTTTGTGTGTGTGTGTGTGTGTGTGTGTGTGTGTGCGAGCGAAGTATTTTGTCGTAGCTTCATCCATTGCCTGACAACCAGCAGCAATGGTGCCTATTATTGTGACTCCAAAAACGTTACATATTTAGCTAACACAATCGCAATGATTACGTGCATAATGTGGCAGTGCAATGCTATATATTGTTCTAACAGTGAAACAGTTCTTAATTGAGGCTTTGATGGCCAGTATCTGCGGTAACGCTTGCGGGTATCATAAGAAAGGGCATCCGCCACAGACATTGGGTAAATACTCGCAACTGATTCACTAAATATGAAGGCAACAGTTGCCCCAACAAACCGGGCATATGCCACAGAAATCTGGGTGGCTTATGAGGAAAAAGCTATCATCGTCATATGCGCGTATGTGCCACATAAACTGGATAAATCCCACTGCACACAACTTCCACTAAAAACGAACGGGGAAACAGCCCAACAAATGCGAGTTTTTCATGGTCACACCACCGGGCCCGTAGAACCCTCCACCTTCCGCAGCTTCGTGTGAAGGGGGTGTTTTACCGAGAATAAATAACAGGTATACAGGTTGTTCAAGGCAAGGCCTTCGACAAGTGCCCCCTCCCCGGGAAAAAAAAAAGTTTCAGCTACGGGCCTGCACACGATTCTCACGTGATACTTTGAGGCTATATAAACTATGGTGGCATCATTACTACCTCAAAACTTGACAAACAGTGCTCGATACAGAGCAGTGCGTGATAAAGCATATCTGAAAGACTTGCAAAACATCCAAATGCGTAGGCCTGTCGAAGCAAGTGCTTTACCATGTTCGCTGTTTCCTCGGTGTCGGTGAAGCAGAGTTGAATTTTTTTCTGAAGGTCATTTCTTTATCTCTTCTTAATCGATTGATTGGCGTTCAGCTGCAGAATCTACTTAAAATGTGTCATCTGCTTAATGCGCACATCTTGTGCCCCTCTTCGTCGACGTCATTACGCGCAGTGTTGTGTGGGCTGGCGCTTAAAGGGACACTAAAGGCAACTAGTAAGTCGACGTTGATTGTTAAAATAGTGATCCAGAAACGTCTTAGTGTTACTTTTGCACCAGGGAAGGGCTTATCTTGAAATCAAATCACGTTTTAGTGGCCCACATCGTATTAGCGCACTTCAAATTACCCGCCTCAATAGGTAGACCGACTAATTTCACTGTTGCCGTGCACAACGTTGCCTGACTGTACTTTGTTGTCGCCGATACTAGAAAACGGAATGAAAGCAGCGGGAGCCACAGCAGCATGGAGGAATGCAGAGACACCAGCAACAACGCCCATTTATCGATTTTCTGCCATTGGCTCCGAGATGGCAGACGTGCTTTGGTTCAATTGCGATCCGCTAGATGACACAATCTGTCCAATGTAATGACGCGAAAATTAAATTTTTGAATTACGTCATTTTCCATAGTAACGTCCGGCGGTTCTTTTTCTTTTCATGAATCAAACAGAAACGAACAAGCAGCATTTATTGCATCTTTTGATACACGGAAGGTTCTTTATTTAGTGCAGCTAGATCGATTATTAGTGAATAATTGTAGGCGGCTCGTCTGACGTCATCGGTATCATTTTAAGAATGTACTACTGCAACGCATGTATTCTTGTGCCTTTACTTTAAATTCTCTGTAAGTAGGGCACTGCCATTGATTATATTGTCGTTTTAGATGTTGTCATACATTGAGCTTTCACTCTGACGTGAACTGTTATTTGACTTTAGTGTCCCCTCGGGAGTTTGACCTTCATAATTTCTACATATCATCATTTGTACACTTTTCCCATTTGTATATATTGTTGACGATGAATATGTCATCAGCTGCTGCAAGGCTTGATGCTTCACGCCGTAGTTCAAGTTCGGCTAGAATTTAAAGTGGTTCGTTATGTGTGGTACGGGTTATTACACAATGGCTGTTCTATTTCATGCTGTTCTGTTGCGAGCAATCAACGCTGAAGCTAAAAAAACATGCCAGTCTCAATCCTAATCCTCGGAACGTTCACGTGCCTTGCGTACAGCCGGTCGTTAGCTTTGCGTATTCGTATGTGTTCCCTGTTGTGAAGACGAAGCTGCATTAACTAACCCCAAATTCCTGCGCTGCTCGCCAGCGAGGTTGCAGACACGTTCTTTGCTTGTATAGGTTCTTGTCTGAAGCTGTAGGCTTGCTGCCAAGTCCAACTGTGCGGGTTGAGATGTCGAAAACTGAGTAACAATACTGGCGAAAAGAAAAAACAGCTTCGTGTAAGAAGTGTACTTGCGTCAAAGGGGGGTTGTTAGCAGTGTTTGTTCGTCACACACACGACAGCACCGCTGACGTACGTGGGCGCTCCGGTGTGTGTGGCAAGCGTGCTTGACAGCGCAACTGAAGGCACGAGAGATCTTACGTGTGTACGTAACCTTGTGAAGTGATCTAGCAGAGTACATATGTAGTTGCGTAGAAGTTTCACTGCAGTTTTTGTGCGGTAACATACGCACCGAACGCCTAAAACATACTTCGAACTGTACTGAAGTGAGTTTTCCGTCACTCTCCTGTCTTCGGCGCTGTTTTTCACTTCGTTAATATATTTTGAGCGACATGACGGCTCCGCCCTTTGAAACCACTCGCAGGATTTCAGTGTCAAAAGCGAAACCCAACTTTTTTTTTTTGTACAAAAAGGACTCCTCGGCAGCGGATTGTCTCTCATCATAATTAACTGCCTGTTTTAGTGATCACTGCTTCGGAAGAACTGCATGAATGTGAGTCGCAGGACGTCGAGTCACTACTGCAATAGTGTTTATTATCGTTATAACAGGGTTTATAAATATGATTTTTATGAGGAACGTTTGCGAATTACACGCAGACTGAAAAAGCAGCAAAACATTTTGTTTTTTGTGTCCGAAGATTGAGGTGATACGCTTGCTTTTGTTTGTTTGTTTTTCATTACCACGCAGAAACCTCTATGTTTGCGCAATTTGCATTGAATCTTGATGTACCATTCAGAGACTACTGATGCAGTGCTGGTCATGAAAGGGCTGCGAATAGGAGTGTAACGTCCCTTACTTATTCGAGCAGGATATAAGTTTTCGCCGTTTGCACGACCGAACAAGTATTGTGCTTGGCATCTTTCTTGGCGAATTTCCGTGTGTAGCTACTGGTTTGCATTTTACTGCGCTACAGCATTAGGTACTGTACATGCGCTGCCGGCCCAGCCACAACGCACGTGCCGGGACCCCTGCATGCCACACCTAAGTGGAGGATAAAAGAACGTCGCCCATTCCTTCATTTGCCTCCCGCGTGGGTGCGTCAGGTGCAGATGCGTGGTGGGTATGCCGCATGTACAGGCCTTCGTCGCCATCAGAAGGTCTCGAAATTCACTCACAGCGAGTCTAACTGAAGGCAGTGGTGAAGCCTTGTTTGCTCAAAAAGTTCAGAAATGGGAAACTCAGTAGTACCATACAACTTACCATACAAGTGCGAACAGGCCCCGCCCAGATGACCGAAGCGCTGCAACCGATCGCCTCCACAAGAAAATAGTTCCGCTCATGCTATTAATGGCGTTCTCCTGGCTGTCCGGCTCCTGATGTCAGTACGTAGTGCGCACCCATTAGTTGCAGGCTTGTTTGCATCCGCCTATGAAAATGAAATGTCGTGAACTTCTAAATCCGTGTCCGACTCCAAGGAAATCATCGACCTCCCGATTTGGCGGTAGAACTTCCTATAGGTGGAACACAAAGGTGCTTCATTCTACTGGTAGAAGGCATTTATAACGGATCGTGCATTTAACATTATAGGCATCGGTCAGTGTAACCGAGGTATTCAGCCCCAATTCGTGAATGTGACATCTCCCTCCTCATTTCGTTTTTGCCCTTTCGGTAGTTACTGAGAGCCAACTTCTTTTCCATTGCTGCTATTCAATAAATCCTCTCCGCCTCTCTGTTTTCTTCGCTTATTACTTTTTGTTGCCATATCACCCCCACTGCAAACTACATATTTACAGGTGAGTCTTCTATAGTTCTTTTCCTCCACCGTCCACGCTCTTACTATACGGATACCTGAACACCTTCCCTGCCCATCTACTCTCCTTCATTTTCCTAAGCCTCTTTTCAAATATCGTTTTGCTCTGAGCTTCCCTTACTTCAAAGGCTGTCCGTCCCATATCCCCATTTACAGCATCATTCGTCGTCTTCCCGTGAGCGCCCAACGCGAAGCGAGCAGCAAACCCACCGCCGACAGTACCACTAAGTGCCTCTTTGAACGCGTGACAAAGAACAAAAAAAAAAGTCAGTATCTGGCACAACCCAAGGCTGCCTCAAGGGTGTAAAACACAATTTCAGCCTACACATGTCTGTTTTCAAGCAAAATAAGTCTACCCGCGATGATTTCTGGTCATACCAGTAGACTGACCATAAACATCGCTGTTAAGTGATGCTAACGGTCATTTTTTTTTGTCGACTTTCAACATCAATTAAAATTATCATTCCTTTTTTATGGGGCAAAAGCATGCTCGTTGCCGCCGATGTGATGAACGGTCTTCTCAGTATGTGCCACAACGAAGAAATTCCGAGTGGTAGACGGTTCCTTTATTTGTTTAAACGCCAGCTTGAAGGGCATTAAATATCGTTGAAAATTGCCGAGTAGGCCTGGAGACGTCCGTATTGTTGCGGTCGTAAATCACGCGAGCTGGAAAATCAATCGTGGAGGAGAAAAGAAACTTCTAAAATGTTATTCGGGACAGTCAAAACAAGTCAAGAATCCGTGCCGGCACAAGGTCCGAGGTAGCCTTGATAACCATGTAGGTATCAGTCAAAGAACAGTTTTTATCCTGATACCGGATACGCATGTCTGACTACCAGGAAGGGCCCCGATATTTTCGCTACTAGATATAAGCAAGAAGTCGTTCTTCATCTATAGATCGCAGGGTAATTTATTACCCCTAATATTAATGTCTCTCACAGATCAATTCTCTTTTCAGATACAAAGTAGATTACGAGACGTGTCCTGGAAACAGATTACGGTGGCTTTTGTAATCATGGTTGCGCCGTAAGCATCAGGTCACGTACGTATAAAGTGCTTGCCCGATAATGGTCTCTTATCATTGTTTGCGAGGGAAGTCACCCGCTTTTGTCTTTCTCGCGCGCGCATGACGTACATGCGCAGAATGTGCTGGGAAGATTTCATGCACGGCACATGACTGTGTTCGCTATTGGTATCTCTATCTTTGCAGCCAATAAGGTAAGGTATACGTAAAAGAATGCGATGTCGATAACGAATTCTGTTATCCATACTTGTCACGTTTATTTCGAGTATGTACTCGTGTATGCACCTGATCGCGTCCCGCAGTGTACTCATATCGAGCTATACCGTATGCCTTTGCATAGTCAGTGTGCCTTGTATGTTCAAGCACGCTTTCCTTCTTTTTCTTCACTGCAAATGGCACAGGTGTAGGTGACGGAGTCGAAATCTATCCCGCCATGCCGTCCTCGTGGAACCCGACAGAAGATGAAGCCGGCAAAAAGGCCCTTGAAGAGGTTCGTATCACTCTCCATAACCTGTCACAGGGCAACATATACGCAAGCGGAAAGATGTTACAATCCGACAGGGGGGAATAGTCTTTGAGAAATTCAACAATATCGGTCAGCTGCCAGACGCTGCATCCTTGCAAGCATACAATACTCACTGATTCAAAGGGTATCAACTTGAGCTTGTTCGCACAGCTTCACCAGAGGAAACAGCGTGTGCAAACGTGGCAAGAAAGATAGACAGGGCTTTGCGCTGGGAAATCTACGAAGCGTTCACATGTGATTCATTCAATGGGGTGACCGTGTGTAAGCGCACCGTATATCGTAATAACCGACAAGGAGGTTATCTCTGCGATTTAACTTTGGGTTATAGAGACAAATACATAGGGCGTTGCCATTTGCCCACATTTCTGTTATATCTCTTTTCTTTCTAATGGAAGCTTATCTATATATTTGTACCCCTGAAGTAAGCGCTCATGTTGTTAGCCAACGCTAATTCTTATGTGTCTTTCTTGTCACTTTGGTATTTGCCCCGGAATATGAACTCAGACTACCACCACGGAAGAAGATCACCTCGGGCTGAATTATGGAATGAATGTTATGGAAACGCAGAGGGAGTCTACTTCGTAGACGCTGTGGGCCCCGTGGGAGGAATTTCTACGATAGCAGTCATTCACCAAAGTAAGATAGTTGACGGCCTATCACTAATATGCTCTGATGCATCTCTTGTAGAGAAAACTGCAGTTGTCCTACCAGTAACGATAGCCTACCGGAACTACATGAGGGGCTGTATTTCACTTCCAGCTCACACCATCCTATAGCAGGCACGAACACGAGCCACGAAAAAATAGCTCTTCTGGGTGCCAGGCCACCAGAGGGCAGCCGAAAACGAGCTATATAGCACAGAACTCGGCCCGAGCATTCCTTCCCTGGGATCTGTCTACCGACCGCACAGACCACTGCATTCACCCACCAATGCTTGCTACATCACAGATATACTGCAGCTTTATCGCCTATACGAAGACAAACTCTGCCTCATCCCGCTAAGGGACCTACTAAAACCGAGGAGACCTGTCTGCGCAGGCTCCAAACCATGTCGTACAGTGGCCCGGCACAATGGCCAAAATATATTGCACTGAATTGCTCTCGCTCTATAGATTATTAAGAACAATTGAGTACAATGTGGAAATTCTGTGGCAGCCACACTGATATTTTTGACATGGTTTGGGTGCACAAGTCCAATTGAGAAATCGTACAGACTACGCAGCCCACGTGGGAGGGGTGGGAGGAGGCTTTGCAGGGCCCAGCTCTCGAGGACCAGCCGAGAGTCGTGGAGCGGGCGCGAATGCAGCGCAATCCAATGGAGTCAGGGAATATAGGGACCCACCCAGTCCTCTCTTGAACTACGTTTCCTGCAATAAATTTTTCTTCATTCATTCGATCATTGGCCCCACCGTTTTTTTCTGTGATGTACTCGTGGAATAAAACGCGATGCCGTTCTTTTTTTTTTTGTTTTTTTTACAGCCACCGGTATGGGCTCGTGGTGATCACATCATGTCGCTGCAAACCTTGCCGCTGAAGGCAATGTTGGCTGGCGCGTAATGTTCGCGTTTCGATAAAGTAGAACTCTGAAACCGAAGGTGACAAAGACACGCTGACTGCTTGTTTGTTGCGTAAAAATTATCGTACACTTCCTGTATGGGTGTGGGAATAATTGAATTGAAGCAAAGTTGAATACGAATCGAATGTGGGATGCTTTTCTGAACAATAAACGGCTGTTATTACATTCATGTGACATACTCCCACTCCATTATTTGAAACTTAGTCCTAATATGAAATAAAAACCATGAAAATTTAAACAGATATTCGCAGGATTAATGTTATAATGAAGACGAGCATCATATAGGTATTGAACTCTGGTTTTTCGACGTTGTCTTTTGCGCTACATAATCTCTCACCGGGCACAAATTGTGTGTAACTTGTCTTGCGTTTGAACCATTATGTTTTTACTTGGGTGCATATGGCAATTCAAGACACTTTTAAACTATTCGGGAGATATTCGTATATATCAACCTTGATTATGTTCAATTTGAATAGGACATTACAGGCGATATTCGAAGAGTCGCACACGCCCCAATCCTCCTGGCAAGTCGTGTCGCTATAGCTTCAAAATACATACAATTAGAACGTACATTATATATACTTTGGTATCGCTAATGTTGAGCAATGTTGTCCACAGGGGTAAACAACAAAAAGGGGCAATTATTTTCTGATACAAGAAGGTGGTTATTAACTTGCTGCATAGCTCAAGTCACAGCTGTGCTTCCGCGGTTCTTAAAATTGTGCAGTGTTCAATATGTCTACCAAACCAAGGTTTCTTCTTTTGCTCATATTCGAGAAGTGTGATCTTATCGTTACCCTTGCAGGAGACAAGGAGTCATATATTTTCTTGTTTATAAAGTCTAATTGTAACCTGAGCTCTTTCGGTAAGTATATTTTAAACTTGTAATTTATCTGTAGCGTTGCCGTCAATGGCTACTCGTATCTAGCGACAAGACTTAACTAAATGAATTAGCAAGCCGTCAGAAACTCTGCCCCCGCATAGCACCAAACATGTGGTCGCATGCATCACAAGTGTTTACTTTAGCATGCGATACTTCAGTGAAACGATGTTCGCAGTCAATCTTTTTCAACATTTATTGTTCTGGTATGAGGCACATACAGCAGAAAAGTGCGTTCGCTCTTGACGTTTCTGAACACTACAGACCTCGAATGTGTGGCGATAAGTGACAATTATGTTGATGTGTGGTGCGGTGGTATATGGACTTGGTGCAACTGTGGCGGCTGAATTTCCGATGGAGGCGGAAATGTTGTAGGCCCGTGTGCTCAGATTTGGGTGCACGTTAAAGAACCCCAGGTGGTCAAAATTCCCGGAGCCCTCCACTACGGCGTCTCTCATAATCATATGGTGGTTTGGGTACGTTAAACCCCACATATCAATCAAGGGACTTGGTGCAACACTGCATGCGGAATAGTTCCGAGGCCCCCGGCTTATGCAGGCTTTCGTCGCGCTGCTCGCGACCTTCTAAGAGCATGCCCGCACTCTGCTTTACAAACGAAGTTCAGTGCAATCAGAAATGAGGAAAGCGGGTGGCGCAATTGCCAGCAAAGCTTGCAAGACAGGGTCCACCGGCAACCTACAACATCCGCAATCCTATATTATGCTAGCGAATGCACTTAGTTCTTTAGCGAATTCTATGATATTGTCCACAGTTCTAGTGATTCAAATGTTTGAAACTAATATACTATGATGTTACCTAACATTATACATTCATGTGTTTGTGCAACAGGCTTGCAAGCCCGGACCGGCGTACAGGAATGCCTATAGGGACTTTGAAGGTCTGTACATCAGCAATACGTTCACTGATCGGAATATGCGCTCCGCGTTATCTTACAAGCCGATGGACGGGGACATGTTCGTCGTCAGCTACCCGAAATGTGGCACGACATGGATGCAGCACATCGTGTATGCCATATACCGAAATGGTGTGGGCCCAGCCAACCTCCAGGAGTTTATGAGCATGTGTCCGTTCTTGGAGCTCCTGGGAGCCGAGGGCGCGCAGTCGATGCCGCGACCGGGAGCCATCAAGACCCACCTGCCATTTCACATGCAGCCTTACTCGGAGAAGGCAAAGTACATCTACATCACCCGCAACCCGTACGACTGCTGCGTGTCCTTCTACTACCACACAAGGAACATGCCGCTGTACCTCTTTGAAGACGGCACGTTCGACCAGTTCTTCGACATGTTCGTCGAAGGCAAGGTCGACTTTGGCGACTACTTCGACCACCTCTTGTCCTGGTACGAGCATCGCGATGACAGCAACGTGCTTTTCGTCACTTACGAGGACCTCAAGAAGGACACTCGTGGCTGGGTTCTCAAGGTTGCCGACTTTCTGGGCAAAGAGTACGGCGACAAACTGAGGGAGAACCCGGACGTTCTAGAGAAGGTACTCACTTCGATAAGCGTCGACTCCATGAAGAAGATCAACGCGGAGCTGGGTAACTGGACCAAGGATCTGGCCAGCGTTCCTTTGGAGGCACTGCCTGCAGGATTGAGGTCGTTGGTGGAAACCATGGGGAGCATGTTGCAGAAGCCAGTTAAAGGAGACTTCGTGAGGAAAGGCATCGTGGGTGACTGGAAGAACCACTTCTCGCCGGAACAGGTTGCCAGGATGAAAGAGCGGATCACGCTCAAGACCGCAGGCAGTGACGTTATGGACCTGTGGAATGACGCTGGCCTGCCCTAAATATCAACGCCAGACTGCGATCTGATGGACAAACGTTCAACAGTGCCGAGAGACGGATTATTGTGTTTTTCAATACAGCCGTAGCTATGAAATAAGCGTATAGGCTTGCACATTCGTGAGTTCAATATAAAAAGGTTATTCATCCAAGTAGTCGTAGTCGCTTTCAGCTCACAACCATCTACCGTGAGCTAACTACTAAATGACGTGTTCTTGTCCTGCAGAGTGCGTCTCCGCCTATAGTGATCAAACCATTCCTCAGATGTAGATTCCTTAGAATAACTGTAATTGCAGCCGTTTAAGTACAGCCTCTTTGATTGAGGATCGCAAGCATTGTGAATTACATGCTTTCCATAGCAAGATTGAAGAATGTCTATGACTAGTATTCCCTGGCGCTCAGTTCGTTGAATCAACCAGAGAAATGACAGACCGTTTGCCTGCTCCTCCCTGGAGGCGGAAACTACACACACGCATTAAGGTTTTTGAATAAGTTATGTTGTCTAGTCCGCTTCCCGTAAGGGGCTGGACTGAAATACAGAACGTCTTAAAGCTCATTGTGACTATTCAGGGACAATATTGTGTAGTACTTGTACGGGGTCATGGGCACGACATTGTCGTATACTGCTTTTTTTTACTCTTTCAAGCATCACATCCCAAGCATCAGACAGATGGCATCAGTGGTAAAGTGGTCACGGGGCTCGTATGCTGACCCGAAGGTAGGAATTTCATTCCGGCCACGGTGGTCCTATCTTGATGGTGGAGAAATGAGAGGCCCGTATGATCTGCGATGTCAGTGCACGTTTTGATGTTACGTGATTTTAGTAACGCAACTGTAACCGTTAGGGATTATACGTGATTTTAGCCATGTGACTAACTACGTGTGTTAATAGATTTTAGTCACGTGACAAGTCAAGTGGGATTTCTGAGATTTGAGTGACGTGGCTACATGTTACTTTATCTTGAGTCACGTGGCTAGTTTCTTTACGTTATGTGATTTTAGTCATGTGGCTAGTCTTCATAAGGCGCGACCTCAATCACGTGAATTGAAGTTACGGGATCTTAGTCGCGAGACTAGATGGTATGACACCTCGTGAGTTCAGTCATGTGACTAGTTACGTGATTTTCGTCACATGACTAGATGTTGCGTGTTTTTTAGTCACTGGATAGGCACGTGCAGTGTAGTTTTCTATTTACATTCAGTGCTCTATCGCACCGCTTGTGCATTCCGAGTCTGGCAGGAGTGGTACTCGCAACAAACATGTGCTGCACGCTCCATGTTTTCGGGATGGGTGGATGGATGGATTGATATGGGGTGGTTTAAAGTCTAATTTGTCTTCACTGTCCCTAAACCCCAATGCTTTGAAAAATTTCACGCCATTATTTTGCACTATAGGGTGGAGCCATTTACAGAACATTAGCAGATGTTCAGTCGTTTTCTCCTCCTCTCCACACGCACTACATAACATGTCTGTGCCTTCGTGTTTCGCTCGGTACGTCTCGGTCTAGCGATACTCCCGTTCTGGCCTCGAACAGCAGGGAACTACCTCCAGAATTATAGTAGATCCTTTCTTTTGCAATTTCCTGCTTAAAAGTTCGGTAGGTACCCAGTGATGATTTCGTAAGCATTGCAATTTTCCACATGTCCCTCTCTGTTTCCTTCACCTTCTTCTTAATCGATGTTTCTTTTGGGCTTGGTATTCAGCTGTTGTCTAAATACTTGCTTGCCAATTTTCGAGTTTGCTTCCTCCATTTAGTGTCAACATTCTTCATCTACAAGTAGCTGAAAACTTTCCCAGCCGAACGCTCCTCTCACATTTTTCTCAATCGCTCCTCAACTTCTATCTTGCTGCTAGCTTCCCTGGACTCGAACGATGTCTATCCCATGTCACCCTGCACCCCCATTTGGGGTATTCCCGTGTGCTCCCAAAGCAAGTCTACCTATGCCACGTTCTTCAATTGCCATTCTTGCTTGAACCTCTGATCTCATGTCAAGAATGCATTGCCGAACATCAAACCCGGGACCATGACACCTTTGCAAATTCTTCTCACAACGTCATAGCTATTTAAGTTCCACAGTGTCCTATTTTTCATTACAGCTGTATTCCTGTTACCCTTAGTCGTCACGCATATTCCCTTAGGTACTCAGCCCCGTTGTGTATACATACGCCCAAATATCTGTACTTATCCACTATTTCTAGCGCAACCTTCTGTATCTCATGCTCAGCCCCGTTGTGTATACATACGCCCAAATATCTGTACTTATCCACTATTTCTAGATCGACTTTCTGTTTCTCATGATCACTGCCTTCGTTATCATAAATCATAAGTGCCGATTTCCCCTACTGAAGTTCAAGTTTAACATATTTCCCTCATTAACTGCAGATGATTTAATCCCTGCAGATCTTCCTTGTCGGCTATTAAAACTATATCATCTGCATACATCAATGCTGGTAACGACTGTTCAACATGTTTTCCTTGCTTGGCAAAAGAGAGGCTGAAGCTGAGTCGAATCCCCTCTAATTTGGCTTCTAGTCCCTGTAGATACAGCATAGGAAGGAGGAGGAGGAAGGGAAGAAATGAAAGGTAGGGAGGTCAACCAGACGCACGTCCGGTTTGCTACCCTGCACTGGGGGAAGGGGTGAGGGGATTGAAGGAGAAGAGAGAGAAGTGAAGGGCAACGTGTGTGTAGATGTGACCTTGTCCATTGCACGCTTATAAGCGGTCGCGTAGTCCGGTCGTCTTTAGAAAACTTAGCAATGCCCGCGTCGCTTTGCTGGCCAGCGACGCGTAGAGTCATGAGCCAAGTATCTTCTCTTCGGAAAAAGGTCTACTGTCTAGTGTCTCTAACGTTTCGCGTAGCAAATTGCGTTCGCTCACAAAACGTTCACATGAACACAGTAGATGTTCTATTGTCTCGTCAGTGTCGCACGATTCACATCGGGAGCTATCCGCCATTCCTTTGCGAAAAGAGTACGCCTTTGTAAAAGCTACTCCTAGCCACAGGCGGCACAGTAAAGTTGCATCCTGGCGGGAGAGGTCCGATAGAACTTTAAGCTTTCTCGATGGGTCCAATTTGTGTAGGCGGCGGTTCCTGACATGTAGATACAGCATAAATGACAATAATGGATACACTAGATGTGGTAGATGGAATAACCAATCTCCTAAAGGATATTTATAAAATGAACAAGACAGTTATAAAATGGGAAGAACTGGTATATGAACCTATAGAGATACAACGCAGGCTTCGACAGGGATGTCCCTTGTAGATACAGCATAAATGACAAAGGGGACAAGGGACATGCCTGTCGAAGCCTGCGTTGTATCTCTATAGGTTCATATACCAGTTCTTCCCATTTTATAACGGTCTTGTTCATTTTATAAATATCCTTTAGGAGATTAGTTATTCCATCTACCACATCTAGTGTGTCCAGTATTCCCCACAAGTCTTCTTGTAATTCGTAAGCTCCCTTGATATCTAGAAATGCGAGCCACAGGGGCCTGTGTTCTTTTTCCGCTATTTCAATACACTGCATCAATGAAAACAGATTGTCCTCCATCCTCCGTTTACGGAACCCATTTTGTAGTTCTCCCAGCACCCCCTCATTCTCCACCCATGTCTGTAGTCCTTGCTTTACTATCTGCATCACCAGCTTGTAAACTACTGATGCCACTGTTATAGGACAGTAGTTCTTTGACAGCTTTCTTCCCCTTTTTTTATGGATAATGTTCATCCTGCCTATAGTTTCCACCCATTTGGGGTTTCACCATTCATTGTTGCATTGCTCGCTGCCTCTCTTAATGTTTGCTTAGAGTTTGGTCCTAGTTTCTTTATTAGCATGATTGGGATGCCGTCAGGGCCTGTTGATGTGCTATAAGGAACCCTCTTCTCTCCCCTTTCTCACTCTCGTTTTCCCAGTGAAGCCACTGAGCTAATTGGTCCATCTTCATCTGGTACGGCGCATGCAGCGCTTTCTTGGTGTTTAAATTTTTCCGTCATCATTGTTTTTATATATTCCATTGCCTCATCCCCTTCTAGTCTTACCCCTTGAACTGTAGTTATAAAACTATGTTTCATGCTTGTTTTATTACTCAGAGAATTGAGATGGTTCCAAAACTTTGCAGCTGCCTTTCTATTCGTTTTGTTTATTTCCGCCATCCATTGGGCCCCCTTTCTTCTAATCTTTTCACTGATCAGATGGACGCTTCCCTTCTGCAGCTCAAAAAGTTATCCCATTTTCTTTAGACACCATCTTCCCTTTCACCCCCTGTTTAGCATACATGTGTTCCCTGGAGGCTTCATGACGTCTTACTATGGCTCTCTTTCTCATCCCACCAGCTCTCGGGTTTGTGTCTCCTTGTCCCTGTTGATTTGACTCGTGCCTTAGCAAGCTCTAACTCAAAGAATCGAGTTAGATTTGTGAAAGTCCACTCTGTTTTAGTATCCTCGGTGATTATTTCCACAATCTCTTAAGTCGCTGTTTCTATTTGCCTTTCTGAATAAATGTTACCATGTGGTAATGCCTCCTTCCCATTTTCATTTCTGTTCCAAAACTCAGCTTGATACGTTTGTGATGACGACCTAAGCTTCTAGACCCATATTCATCTACGTTCGTCACACTTAGCCGACCATGCATCTTATATATGTGAAATCATTGCGTAATCTATCGTCAACTCATGCTTCCCAAGCCATTCGCGCTTCTCGGTACTGTTGCAAATGATTAAATCATGCCTTTCACACATATTCATTAGCATTCTGCCTGTTCGGTCAGTATATTCATCCATATATTTTCTGTGAGTATGCATATCTCTTATTATAATTACCTCGCACTCTTGTCCTAGTTCATCAATTTCATTTTCTATGCACTGCCCAATTTCTTGAACTTCCTATCCGGCTTTTGCCCCTGTCCACACGTATACAAATCGCAGGAACGTCATCTGCCCTGCCACTTTCTCTTTTAGCCATAAATGTTATCTGCACTCCTACTTGGCCCTTCGCCAGTCTGTACATTTATGAATATGTGCGCCAATACCCCCCCCCCCTTTCTGCTGCCTTCTGTTTTATTACAATATTCCCATGCGTAGTTTGGATTGTTAGGAGGTTGTTCCATGTCCTTAAGATGTGTTTCTACAAACCTATGTGCCATCAGCTT